ACCGAAGGCCCCAGTGGCTGGGCTCGCGTGCGGTTCCACCCCCATGTCGGCACACCCCTCACACGTTTCATGGCCCCGTAGGGAGCTCCACCGAAGGCCTCAGTGGCTGCGTTCGCATGCGGTTCCACCCCTATTTCGGCACACAAACACGCACACACACACACACACACACACACACACACACACACAAACACACACCACGTTTCGCGGCCCCATAGGGAGCTTCGCCGAAGGCCCCAATGGCTGCGCTCGCTTGCGGTTCCACCCCCATGTCGGCACACCCCTCACACGTTTCATGGCCCCATAGGGAGCTCCACCGAAGTCCCAGGCGACTGCGTTCGCATGCGGATCCACCGCCGTTTCCGCACACCCCTCACACGCTTCGTGGCCCCATAGGGAGCTCCACCGAAGGCCCCAGCGGCTGCGTCCGCATGCGGTTCCATCCGAATTTCGGCACACCCCTCACACGCTTCGTGGCCCCATAGGGAGCTCCACCGAAGGCCCTAGTGGCTGCGTTCGCATGCGGTTCCACCCTCACGTCGGCACACCCCTCACACGGTTCGTGGCCCCATGGGAAGCTCAACCGAAGGCTCCAGTGGCTGCGTTCGCATGTGGTTCCACCCCTATGTCGGCACACCCGTCACACGTTTCGTGGAGTTCCACCCAAGGCGTCAGTGGCTGCGTTCGCATGCGGTTCCACCCCCATGTCGGCACACCCCGCACACATGTTGTGGTCGCATGGGGAGCTCCGCCGAAGGCCCCAGCGGCTGCGTCCGCATGCGGTTCCACCCCCATGTCGGCACACCCCTCACACGTTTCATGGCCCAAAAGGGAGCATCTCCGAAGGCCCCAGTGGCTGCGATCGCATGCGGTTCCACCCCCATGTCGGCACACCACATCACACGTTTCGTGGCCCCATAGGGAAGCTCCACCGAAGGCCCCAATGGCTGCATTCGAATGCGGATCCACCCCCATGTCGGCACACCCCTTACACGTTTTGTGGCCCCGTAGGGAGCTCCACCGAAAGCCCCAATGGCTGCGCTCGCATGCGGTCCCACCCCCATGTCGGCACACCCCTCACACGTTTCATGGCCCCATAGGGAGCTCCTCCGAAGTCCCAGGGCACTGCGTTCGCATGCGGTTCCACCGCCGTTTCGGCACACCCCTCGCACGCTTCGTGGCCCCATAGGGAGCTCCACCAAAGGCCCCAGTGGCTGCGTTCGCATGCGGCTAGAGCTCCACCGAGGGGAAATAATCAATACTGCGGCATTCGCAACTGCATATGGTTAGGTCCTTCGCCTGGATAATTATTTCCGAGGCACGCCACGGATTCGGTTTAGAGGCGACTAGATCCCCTCCAGCGTAGGAAACGGGATGATGAAATTGAGGAGACACGTAGGATGGTCAAGGGAGGGCGAAACTCCGTCAAGGGGGACGGCTGCGCTTTGAAGTGGTCTGGCCGCCAGAGCATCATCAAATGGTGACCTGTGTGCCGAACCGAAATGCGCTCCACACTGCCGCAAGCTGATGCTAGAGCGTCTCGGATCACTCCTCCCCTCCGCCCCATCCTCCCCCTTGACTTCGCGCTTCTTTGTGGCCACAAGTGTGCGCGAACAATTTTCGTGAGCAGCACGTTTTGCAGCAAGCACGTTAACAAGCTCCGGAAGAGCGTTTCCGGAGCACGCTGGAATCACATGTCTGTAAATATGTTGGCTCGGGCGCTTTGACGAGTTTTAGCTACGCAAGCAGCAAAATATTCCCATCCATATCGATATCAGCGATATCGCTACGACAGCGGTAGCGGAGCGGTTTGATTCCGCGGCTGCACAGGCGGCGCTGGAGGTCCTTGGGCCTTGGCCGCAGCGCGGCCACCTGCAGCGCAGGACTTCCACACCAGCCTGTTCGGCTACTACATGCTCGTCCTCTTCCTCGCGGTAGTTCTGCTACTCATCGCCGGCAGCCCGGCAGCAATGGACCCGAACCTGGAGCGTGAGGACAGCTACATCCCAAGCTGGGGTGGCAACCTCGCCTCGTTGATGAATTACAAGGAAGAAGTTCGCATTCGGACGCTTGATTTGAACCTGGACGTGCAATACAGCATCGCAACAAGGATGATCAGAAAACTCAAAGGAGCAGCTCGCAGGAAGGCCCTGACGCTAAAGAATGAAGAATTGCAGCCTTATCGAGGCCAAGACGAAGTTCGAGCCAATCACCCTGACAAAGGAAAGGGAAAAGGAACCATTATCACGGCAGCCATCGCGCCAGATCTCGAGAGAGGCATTCGGAATCTGATGGAGGCGCTCGAAGCTCTGTGCCCGCCGAAAGTATGCAGAAAATGTGAAAGCATGACTGAGTTGTTCGAGACGCAGAAGTATGCCCGCAGACCAGGTACCATAATCTCCGACTACAAAACGATATTCGATGAGGGAGTGACGAAACTTTGCGAGGACGGCGTCGAGTTGGCAGAAGATTCGGATATCCTTGGCTGGTTCTTCATACGGCGGCTCAACATCACCAAGGAGCAGCGAGAGCGGCTGACAGCAGCTGTACCCAGCGACACCTTCCAGCTTCGCAAGATTCAGACCACAGCTACGCGAATGCTTCAAGACATGAATGCAAGCGAGCGTGTGCATCAACAGCGACGGCCCTCCGAGCAAGAAGAAGCACTGGCAGCAGCAGGGCGGCAAGGGCCGAGACCGACCACCCCAGAGGCAGGCCAACGCCACCTAGCACGAAGATGACGAAGGCTACAAGGACGACGAAGCACATGAGGACGGAGTCGAGGAGCTCGTGCAGCGCGAGCTGGAGGCCCCAGGAGAGCCCAGAATCGAATCGACAAGTCGGATCGGCAATCGGAACGAATCGGATCGGCGGAAATCGACAGCCGAGTCGGAGACCAGCAGGCCGGTGGGCCTCGAGTGAGATATCGGAGCCCAAGTCAGAATCCGAAATCGAATCGAATCGGAATCGGAGGCCATCGAAGTCGAGTCGAATCGAATCGGAGGAATCGAAGCCAGCCGTGCCGACCTCGGCGGCATCAACGAGGAGGAGCCCGACCGGGACCAGGCCAGAGGCAGCCGGGAGGGCGGCGGTGCAGCTCTCTCGGAGGCGCTCGCCATGGCACGCCAGGCCCGCGACAACATCAAGAAGGGCGGCTCCCACTCCTCCTCCTCCTCCTCCTCCTCCTCCTCCTCCTCCTCCTCCTCCTCCTCCTCCTCCTCCTCCTCCTCCTCCTCCTTCCTCCTCCTCCTCCTCCTCCTCCTCCTCCTCCTCCTCCTCCTCCTCCTCCCTCCTCCTCCTCCTCCTCCTCCTCCTCCTCCTCCCTCCTCCCCCTCCTCCTCCTCCTCCTCCTCCTCCTCCTCCTCCTCCTCCTCCTCCTCCTCCTCCTCCTCCTCCTCCTCCTCCTCTGGCTGAGGAGGCGCCGCAGTCGCCCCGCCGCCGAGAAAGGCGCGCGGCCGAGGCCGCCTTGCCACCGACAGGAAGCCGGGGCGTGGAGCCAAGATCCAGCCGATCAAGGACACGCTCGACAAGCGGAAGAAGAACTCCAGGTGCCGAGTGTGCGACGAGGTGGGTCACTGGGCAGGTGATCCAGAGTGTCCTGGACCCCCGCAGCAAATTCAGGCGGTCACGACCGGCATGGAGGACGACGAGGATGAGATGGAGATCCTTGCAGTCGAGATGGCGATCCAGCTCGCCGTGCTCGAGAACACGGTTGTCTCTGGCCGATCTCCGATGCACAAGAAGGGCACGGTCGACTCGGCGTGCGGAATGGGAGACGGGAGTGGTGCGAGAAATTGCATGCAAAATGCTGCGTGCTGTGGCGCACGACTGGGGAGCGAGGCCTACCCTCAGCCTGGACGCTTGGGCCACCCTTTGGCAGCGTCCAAGTTCGAAGCGCCAGGGACGCACGTTTCGAACTTGAGCCAAAATGGCTACGGAGAAGGCGGAGGAACACGATGAGAAGGCTGACTTGGATTGATACAGGGAGAGGATAAGGAAGAAAAGCACTCCTTGCCCTCACCCTCCTCCACACACGCACTTACCCAACCAATATGAGTGCTGATTCATGGACATAGGACGGCTTCGGACAGGCTGTGCTTGGGACCAGGACGCGCGGTCACGAAGAAGGGTCGGGGGCTGGCCTTCTGCGAAGTCCAGGCGCGCAGGAAGTCCTTGGGGAGAGTGCACACGCAGATTCGATCGGCATCCCCTCCGCTTGTGGCAGGCTCGAGACACCCTGAACCACCAGACCTTGCCATCTCTTGAGAGGCAGGTTGTTGCGTCCGCCGCCTTCCGCCGAGCCTCGCCGGCTTCCGCCAGCGGAGCAGCCCCCGTTCTACCTCCGCCGCCTCCCGCCGAACTTCCACCGCCGTCCGCCACCTTCCGCCGAGGAAGAGATGCCGACTCCTTCGATCTTCGAAGGCGAGGCCCTTTTTGGAACGCCGCACGTGGCACGATGGACAGGTGGCGGCCGAACCGTGGTCATGCAGCTGCTGGCAGCCGCTGCTTCCTGGAGATACCAGACCAAGGGTGTATCCCGACGCAGATGTCCTCGCCTTGCTCCCCCTCTGCCGAAAACGGGCACAGTTCCACACTGGATAAAACCGCATTCGACTGCGAGGAAAACTACGGTGGGGGCATTGGATAAGGAGCCCTTGGATAAGGAATCCAGGGTCTGGAGGCCAGTGGAACTCCAATCGAGGCTTGGCCGTGGATATCACCGCCCCCCTCATCAGATAAGGAACCCTCCAGGGTCTGAAGCCTCCTGGGCACGTTCCTTAACCAACGCCCCCACCGCACATCAGCGGCTCCAGCCGACAACGCCTAGCCGACGGCACGATGGACCGCGACTGGCGATCGCACTACCCGACAGCCGCCTGCTGCCCAAGCCCCAACGCGGCGGGGCCACGCCAAAACGACTGGAGCCGAAATGGCACGACGACGCCGACGACGACCACCGACATCACGAAAACGGCGACGACCGAAACAACGACGACCGCCGACGAGCACGCCAATACTGTACAACTCCGGACCTGCAACCCTCGGGTCGGGCGAAAGGGGGGGATAGCAAAGGGGGGGTTTGAGAATCAGCTCGCGTAGCTGATTTTCCCGGCGCCTCCTGGCGCCGGGAGGCGCCCATGTATCGAGGAATGGGCCCCTCGGCGGGGCCGAAACCAGCTGCATGCAGCAAATTCCGTAACCCCCCCTTTCCCAATCCCCCCCTTTCGTCCGACCCGAAACCCCTGACCCAGGCCGGAGGAGAGGTGAGCGCGAACGGCGAAGCATTGCCGCTCCTGGCCGCTTTCACGGAGCCATGGGCGCCGGAGGTGCGACAGACTAAGGCGCCCTGCCACGAGGGGGGGGCGCGGGAGGAGGAGGAGGAGGAGGAGGAGGAGGAGGAGGAGGACGACGACGACGACGAGGAGGGGGAAAACAAGGAGGGGGGAAACAAGGCACGAGCAAGTACCACCGCCACGACCACCATTGCCACGACGAAGACCACGCCGACAATGACGACCACAACGACGGCCACCACCACGGCGGCGGCGTCCCGCGGGTCCTCGTTGGAGCCGCGGGCGAGCACGCTCTGGCCAGCAGTCTGTGCACGGTCCGTGCGGGGGGGAGGGCCAGGCAGGCAGGCCGCGCCAGCAGTCAGGCAGGCAGGCAGGCCACGGCAGACAGGCAGGCAAGCTCGAGACTCTGGGCTTCCGTGCGTGGCTCACCCTTTTGGGCGTTCCCGTCGCCACGGCTGGAGTCGCCTCGGCATTCTGGCCGGGCGCCCCAGGACGAGGCAGGGAGGCCATGTCTGACCTCCAGTCACAGACCCAGTCGCGTCCGATCACCTGAGATGCAGCGAAAGGGGGGGGGACCGGCATAGGGGGCGATGCATCGACCTGGAATCGGCGACGCATCGCCGATCGGTCGGCCATAGGCCTCCAATAGTGAATCCGCACCTTCCTGGGCAGGTTGGGGCTATCGGGCCCCCTATCGGCGATCCGTGGGCGATTTTGGGGGGGTCGATGCATCCCCCCCTATGCCTATTCCCCCTCTGTCGTTGCCCCCGATCACCAGGGCCATCGAAAACGACCCAGGATAAAAAAACAAAAAAAAAAAAAAAAAAAAAAAAACTGCCTCAGGGAAGGGGTCGAGGCCTAAAAAAAACACGGCGCGCCACGGTCGGGGCGACGCCGCTCCGTGACAGAGTGCGGCGTTGTGGGGTTCGGGAGGTTTCGCGTGGAGGGGGGGGTACTGCGGCAACGCAGCCACAAGAAGCAAGTCTGGACCCCCCAAACTTACCACTCGACGAGCACGCCTGCGAGGGCACGAGACCAGAGAGGGAAGAGGACGACGACGACCACTACAGGGGAGAGGCGGGGTGATAAACATCGCAACCCGTAAAAAGGGTGTCGAACCCTTGCTCGGCCAGAAGCGCAACGAGGGCCCGCGAGGAGACGCAGCGCACAACTAAAATATCCCGAAAACGGCTATCACAGAATCGGCCAGCACACCGCTGGAGTGAGGGAGGAAAAGGTAGTGATAGGCCAAGATGGTGGGCAGCATGCCGTGGGATGTACTTCCCTAGCGGCTTCGCCCACGAGAAGGTCCCGCGCCCGAGCCCCACTTCGGACAAGTAGGTTTAGGTCGGGCGTGTCCTCCTACAGGGGGCTCTCGGACGAAAAATAAAGAATGGCAACAAATATTCCAAAATGGTCAAAACAAAACAAAAGATTCGAACGAATCGTCCCCAGACTACTTTTCTACCATTTTTGAATGCTCCTCCTGTAGAGGGACACGCCCGCCTTACAAAGCAGGCGCGCCTGCCTGCAAGCGCGCCGGGGCCACTGCCACAAGCCGAGGAGGGGGGGACCCAGAACGGTCCTCCCCGGGCGCCACCGCAGCCCCGACGGCCGCTCGTGCTCGTCGAGAGCGCGCTGCCCCGCTGGACGGGCTCGGGAGCAGACCGAGGAAGTCTGCTGGGCCTGTATTCCACCACCACCACCCTCCTCCTGGTCCTCCTCCTCCTCCTCCTCCTCCAATTTATGGTGGAGATGGTGGAAAACAGGCCCATCAAAGTCGACGAAGCAAAACGTAAGAAATCACAGCGAAAAGCAGCGGTGAAAGAGGGGAGCCCTGCTGGACCCCCGCGGCGAACTCCAAGCCGTCGAGCTTGGCGCTCTGGGCGATGCTCAGGCACCAGCCGTTGCGGCGCAGAGCCGTGACCGAGGTGAGGCGCCCGTCCAACGCGCCGCGGGCAACCAGGAAGCCCAGGAGGATGTGCTGGCCCGCGCTCGGGAGCGCGGCCTCGAAATCGAAGGGGACCGCCGCCGCGCCCTCGTAGAGAGGAAGAGAAAACCTCATAAACAGAAACTTCTGGCGCTCCGCGAGGATTTCTTGGATCTGCGATGGACCCCCCTCCTTGGCGCGCGGAGCGCGCCAGAGTCGGCGCTGGAGGCGCCGCCGGGGGTGCTCAGCGCGGATCCAAGATATCCGCGCGGAGCGCCAAAAGTTTCTGTTTATGTTTTTTTTTCTTCTTCGAAACGCGACCTTGAAATCTAATGGGATCGCCGCCTCCTCCTCGTGCTCCAAGTGGAGCTGCACCATGGCCAACATGGCGCGGCCCTGCAAGAAGCATCGCTGGAAGACAGAGGTCACCGGAGCGACCGCCGGCTCGATCCATAAGCTCAGAGGAGGAGGAATAGGAGGAGGAGGAGGAGGAGGAGAAGGAGGAGGAGGAGGAGTAGGAGGGGGAGGAGGAAGAATAGGAGGCAGAAGAATACGAGGAGGAGGAGGAGGAGGAGCGCCAGCGATGATCCTGTTTGCAGCGCTGGTGATGTTGAGCGCGCGCGTGCAGGAAGGCATGAAGAAGGCCACGCCGCCTGCGGTGCAGCCAGTTGAGCGACGATCAAAAACGGGTCTTACGCGGAATGACGCAGCGACCTCACGTGGCGGCTTACGCGGGCACCCAGCGCGGCACGCTACATTGGAGACGAGGGCGCTCACGCGCGAGCTTACGCGGGCAGCTTACGCGCCAATGTCGGCGCAGACGACTCCCTTCTTTTGCGTCGCTGAGTTGGTTTCTCGGACAAAAGCACCATGGATCTTTGCCGACATCGTTCCAACCACTCTTCAGAAAGCCCAAGCTCCTGGAGCTCACCATGGCCAGGAAGGCGTCGCACAAGGCGCGGGCCGCAACTGTCTCCAGCTTCCGTCAGGCCCGCAGTGGCATGCCATCCTGGCCTGGAGAGCTGCTCGTGTTGTGACGACAAAGGCTTGCTGGAAGCATTCGAGCGGCAGGGGGAAAGTGCGCAGCTTCGTCTAGGGAGCCCGCACAGGACGTGCGCGCCCAGCTATGTCCATTAACACGGTTTCTTGATCCGCGAGACTGGCCGCGTGATACGAGCATTCGCCTTCGCGCAATGCGTACTTCCAAAACCAACACGGATTCATGTACGTGTACGTCCTTCTTTCTCTCCTGATCGTCCGCGAGCCACTCTTGTCGCAACCGGCTGGTGTCAATGCGGCGGAATGCTCGCCTCCACTGGTCCTGGAGGGTCTGGTCGACGAAGGAGGCGTCCACACCCGCGCTGGTTGCAGTCGGCGCCGTGGGGGCAACCTCGGGAGGGTGCGAAACGGGAAACTGGGCGGCGGTTGCATTGAAGCCGTCGCGTGGCCTGGTCGGGTGCAAGGTCGTCGCGTGGCCTGGTCGGGTGCAAGGTCGAGGAGGGCATTATGGAGCTGGCTCACTTCGTCGATGGCATGGGAGCGGGCAAGTCCAAAGCGTGCTGCCGCACCAGTCGCAGGCGGCGGCCACGGCTGGAGGAAACGTCGCAGGGATTGTCAACCAGGCTTTTGAGGACATGGCAACGCAAGATGCACTCGTTGATACCCGTTGCGGCCCCACGCTGGGACGACCCGAGGAACTTCATGGTCAAGCCGATCCTGCCCTCGTTTGAGAGCTCGTCCGCTGGAACGCCAAAGGATTTGTTCAGGCTGCGGACAGCGCGTCGCTTTTCGGCCCTCAGAGGGTGAGGCGCAAGTTTCGTCTTTCAGTAGGCCCTGCCAGGCCAGTGACACTAGCCTTGGCCACTGTGGGTGCTCAATCGCGTGGTCGGGGAGCTTCGCGAGTTCGTCCCGTGAGTGCCTCGTCGGAAGCTGATGGCCCAGTGCCGTGAGAGCTTGGGGCACCGGGCGAGCGCGAAGCAACTCATCGCCCTGTGGAGGCGCTCCGCTACCGACTGGTTGGAACATAACCGGTCGAGGCAGGAGCAAGAGGTAGGAGAAGCCCCAGACGTGTCCGGCTGATGAAGGCAGCGAGGTCGCGCAAGGTGTCGTTGCCAGCTGGTTTCGTCGCTCGGTCACGCCCTCCTATCGCGACCGCTGTCGTATTGCAGCGGCGGCCCGTCACCTCCGCAACGTACTTAACGTCGGCCCCCGAGGGTGGCGAGCATGATCCCATGGGGGGCGACCTGCTGGGCAAGTCGACGCCACAGCGCCTCGCGAAGATCACCCGCCGTAGGCGCACGAGGAAGGTGAGCGAGGCCAGCGGAGGCAGTGCCGTGCCGCACCGCAAGTCCAATGCGCCTCGTAATCCACGAAATTGCCGCTCAGCCGCACGACCACGAAGGATGGTCTTTCACCACGGCGGGCTGGCGAACTGTTGCAGGAACGAATGTTTGACCGCGGTGCCCACCCCAACGCTGCCCGCAACGTGAAGTCTGGGCGGTTCTGCAACGCTTGCTGGAAAGGGGGGTGCGGCTCAGGCCTGTCTCCAGAGGTTCATGGAGAATTTGGGGAATGTCCTAGAACGTCTCCGGCAGGCGACAATGGAGGCAAGTGGATGGATGAGAGGGCAAAAACGGGTGGAGCAGCGGCAGGATACGAAGGCAGGGGAGGGAAGGAGGCAAGCAGACAGGAAAGACGGGAAAGGACAGAGGGAAGAGGAAGAGGGGGGAGGTTGGGGGAACGGACGGAAGAGTGAGGAGGAAAGGGGGAGGAAGGGGTTGACCACGACAGGGACGACCACGACGACGACAACGATTACGACGACGACCTCCTCCTGGCGAACCGAAGAGGAGGTGGAGGAAGGAGGGGAACTAGAATGTAGAGCGTAGGGTAAAAAGCTGCGGTTTTATGTGAAGCGGATGTAGAGCAGGGTGTCTGAAACGACAGCAGATCGGACGCGGTAAGGAACCTTGAGCCAAAGAAGGCAACGAAAGGTCCCTTCCTGCAACCCGCCATATGACTGCTATGCTACCGTTTGAAAAATGTGCTCAAGCGGGTCCGACGCGTTTCGCTGGCAGCCCAGAGGCAAGCCGTCCAAACCATCAACAAGCCACAACGGAGAAACCATAAACAATTGCGGCAGCAGACAACACAGAGTAGGGGGTTCTGCTGACCACCCAATTCATTGGAAGTCACAGCGCCAGGGAACCTTCAATTGACCAGGCTCCTCATAAGAAAACCATTGGCAACAGACAATTACAACGCACACAGACTGACACCTCACGTGTTCCCTCTCGAACACAGTTCGAGACGGCAGCCCCTCGATAACATGTTGACTGCACCGCATCCGCGAACACAGCTCACGACATGCGACCT